AAATGATAATTAATGAATGTATTCTTATAAAAATATGTCTTGCATAATAATTAGTTTGTACCGAGTATCATAATAAGAGGTTATGAATATGGATGAGGATGCCACGGTGAAAATTTGTCAAGCTGACTATTAGTAATAACCATGTTTATTCATCACAAGCCAACACGTATATAATCTCAATTAATATTTCATTTAATTTTTAAATTGTTTCATCTAATTATGATATTTGTTGAATGTTGTATTCAATTATTAAACAGTTTTTAGCTAAAGTAATTTGGGATGTATACACAAAATGTTTAACTTTAAATTATTGTAATTTCCTTAGTTGATTTACGACTTGATTTTGTTAAATTATTTACCTTTTAATTTGGATTAACAATTTAATTAGATTTGATGGGAAACGACAGTTGTAAAAGTTGTCTAACATCTTATATCTCCTGAAAAGGGGAAGCACTTTTTAATAAATATAATATTTACCTGAATGTTTAAGTTACTAAGAAATTGTTTGCGGTATAAAAATATTTTTATGTAACAGTGTGTTGAATGTATAGTGATGATTTAATGACTGTTTTAGGAAAGGGTTGACAAATCTGTACAAGACAAAAAGTGGAAGTCTCAATTTCCTCACATTTACCATTTTAATTACCTTTAAACCCAAACCCATTTCAATTCAACCCTCTTATCAAGTCATTAAATTTTTTATTATAAACTTAACCTAATCATAATATATATATATATATATATCTCTCTTTTGGGTCCAACAACTGAAAGTCATAGCCCAAGCACAGCCCATTTTCTTGAAGTCCAATAATAACAATACTTGACAAATTTTTTTTGTAAAGAAAATACATATATATTTTTTAATAGAAAAAGTCTTATTATTTCTAATTCATTATGTTATAACATTGGCAATAAACATCAACATTATAGAAAATTTATATAAAAATAAACATTATTGTGATTTAAATGACATTACTTATTTTTCTTAAAAAAATTATAATAACTGAATTATTTATATTTAAAATTATTTTAATTTCTAAATAAATGTAACACCCCATATCTCGGAAGGGCGGGGCGTCATCCTTTCCCTTATCTATATCCAACACATAGAGCATCTTAATTCCAAGATTTGTGACAAGATAAAGTCCCAATTCACAATAAGTATTTATGTATATATAATCCGTTGTTTATTACACATGTACGTGTCAAATCATTTTTTCTATAGAGTAAATATAATGATGCAAGTAAGAAGATACAATATAAATTTCTATAGTGCTGTGTGTGTAATATTTTTAAGACTGAGTTAGACCAATTATCTCCATTAAATGCTCCTATGTAGAGAATTCATTTCCTTTCATATTTTGGCCTTGTTTCTGCTTCACCGGATCTGAAATAAAATAATAATGAGCTATACGAGTCTAGTAAACAAGACTTGAATTTAAAACCAAACGAACTGAAATACGTAGACTTCATCTCCCAATTTCTTCATATCCGACTATGCCAATCTCCTTAAAGTTTGTCATCTCTTATTCTTACAACTTCACCCCTTTCTGTTTAACTCAACTAGATCCATCCACCCTCATTATTTTTCCTTTAACTAGCTGCGACACTCCTTTAGTTTTATCCATTCATCCATTCTGTTTTTACTATGCTTCTTCTTTTTATAGCCTTATTCACTCCAGGATATATTTGTAAAAACTATTCTGTAATCATCAAGCTATGACCTCTTTTCTCACAATGGTTCACCTTGAAATGACCCCTATTCAACCGTTATCCCAAAAATAAAATTAATACAACAAAAAAAATAAAGATAAATTATTATAATTTCATCACCTATTTATTAGCTCCAACTTTTCATAACAGCAACTTCATTCATTTAACCACTGCCAAGAAGAATAATTTTTTTAAAAAATAATAAACAACTTCCTACATCTCTAACCTCTTCTAGCAGAACTCTTTCATTCATTATATCATAGATAACTAAACAAAAATAAATTAGAATATAATTCTATGCATTCTTCTCTTTCATCTTAATGTCCCACAATACTCCTTCACTCCATTATTCCTCAATAACCATAATTAATACACATAAGAAATGTCAGCACAAAAAATATTTTATTATACTCCTCTATATAACTTTATTTTCCCTCACAAATACACCACACAGTCATTGTTTAAACAACTAAGTGATGCATGTAAAAAAAAAAAAATAAAACAGTAAACGTCCTCCTAGGGACTCATCCAATTCACCACTGTCTAAGGTGACACTCATACTATATTCGAACTAATTCAGTAGGCCACACCAAAACATATTTACATATGCATGGTAAACAACTAACAATGCATAGTAAGGGAAAATAAAGCAGTAAATGTCCTTCCAAGGACTCAATTCATTTCACCACTGTCCATGGTGACAGTCATACCATATTCGACCTAATTTAATGGGTCACACCAGAGCACGTTTATAAAAATCGATTAGTAAATGATATTAAAAAAATAAAAAGAAATGTATGCACACAAACATCATGCAATGTCCGACCACCCGGTGGCCACGCACACACACTATTACCAAAGTAGGTTTAAGGTATACTCGATACTTTATACCACTTAGTAAGACCCATCATTTGGTGTTTTCCACCACCACACTTTTAGGTCCTCCAGTTCAAACCCAACAGCCCATGTCCCACTTGTATATTTCTCTAAGATGACCCTATTTTCCTTTTTATTTTGATATATCCTCAAGAACCTCACTCCTTGTCTCGGTTGGCCTTCCCATGTTATTCCCAAAGTTTTCCTCTATTAATAACTCATCTATGTCTACCAGTTCTCTCTACTCGAACAAAATTATGTTCTCTCCTTAAATATGTTTCTTAAAATTTTTCTGAAGAAATCTCTTTTCCTACTCTATCAACTTAGGAATTATTAAACGATTATTTCTTATCAGGACAAAAACTATTTTTTTTTCACTCTTTACCAACTCTAAATTCAAACATAGAATAAGATCTACAATATTTTCTCCAACTACGAATTTTAATTTCGGGTTTAAAACTCAAATATGACTTACCTCTTGTCTCCGCGTGGTCGTTCACTTGCAGTGCTGACTCTCTCTCAAATCCTTCTTGGCGATGCTATAACATAGCACCACCAGTTCCCCTTTTTCTTCCTACTCTTCCTCCCGTTCTTCTCTCGATCAGCCTAGCTATTTTTAAATCTTGTTTCCTCTTTTCTCCCCCTCTGGACTGCAGGCCCCCTTCTTTTTATATTGGGGTAAAAATAAAATATTTGCACCATCTCAGTTATTCTTTTCGAAGTGTTTCAATTTGCATCGTCCGAGGTGCCCGGTCAGCATTACTTGGCTTCATCTAAACCCTTCCTCTCTCTGACGACGCATTCTGACGTTGCTCAACATGCATGGCGATTCCTAATTGGTTTCCCCCACAGAGTGGCTTGCTGATGTGTTAGCTTTTCAAGGTGTATAGTTCTGCCCCTGTTTGATTAATTTTCTGTTTAAGTCCTTCCTTATTTTTGTTAATCCTACTATATTCCCCTTGTTTATTTTACATGCACACGGAATATACATCTGAGTTTAGTTTAACACATGTTGATATTTACTTAAATATTTTATATATTTAGAATTTCCAAAACGTTACAATAAATATTATTTAAATAACTCATAATAAATACAAAATTACATAATAAATAATATTATTTTAAACTATTAAATTAATAAATTTAATAAAATATACTAAAGTACAAAATATTAATTATCTACCTCCTACGTCACCAACTATCTTTGAGAAGCATATATTTCAATATTTTGGTCTCTTTTATTAAAAACTTACAAATTTGTTTGAAAAGATAAATTTTCCTTAAATATTATATAAAAATAGTAAAAATTTTTCTTTTATTACTTGAAATAATATAAAGAAGATAATATTTTATTTATCACTGGAAATTAAAAAAATCAAAATAGTGTTTACCTTAAATCTTTTTTTTTTCCCCTTAATGTCTATTAATTATTATTATAAATATTATAAAATAAATTAGTAAAAATAATATTTAATTATTATAAATAAAATATGGAAGAAGGTAGTTGCAGGAAGACAAATTCGGATTCGATCACACTAATGAAACAATATGCAGCGTGTGTATTTCTAAAAACAAATTGTGCTAATTTATCGATATTCTTATTATATCATTATTTTTTTTATAATTAATAATAAATTGATATTTATTTTTAATATACTATTATTTTTCTATAATTTTAAAAATATAAATTAAATTTTATAGAGTTAAAATACCAAAATATCTCCTAAATTACACTAATAAAAAAAATAAAATTATTTATTTCCAGTAATTTTTGTTAATGTTGTTTAAGCATGCTGACACGTTACATAACATATGAAACTACGTGTACATTATTTTTTAACTTTCTGTCGTGCGTCCAGATCCATACGACGTCGGTTCCCATAGAAGCTTTTTTTCTTTTCACCCCTTTTACCTCCCCATATTCACGTACATGTGTTATATACATATACATATATATATATATATATATATATTCATCCTGTTTTAGTGAGATATTTAATTTTGTTTTGATATTTTTTTATGGTTAATTATGTTATATATCACATACATTATAATATGTACAGGTCTAATTTAAATGGTCCAAACAAATAATATTTTGATTCTTATTTTCTCCTAATTTCTAATTAATCTTAACTATACATACACAACGTTTATTAAAAAAATCCATAACATAACTAACTCTCTATATCCCTAATAGTTTGGACGTGTTTCCACGCTTTCCCCGCGGCGCGTGAGCTTCTCTCCCTCTCTCCTCTGCCAAACAACCGTTTTCAACCACCATTTCTTCTTTTTCTTCTTCTCTCGATTTTCTTTTGACTAAATTTGAACCAAGTCCTATTGTTTCTCCTCCTATAAATGCAGAATCAGAATATCTCGTGGTTTCTTCAACATTGCAAAATTGCAGGAGGAAAATGAGCAGAACCTCCAACCAAGGAGAAGAGGTTTCTTCAGGTGATGAGACTTCTATCACAATCATCTCCTCCGATACCCGTACAACGATAACAAGAACATCCACAACCCACGCTAATTTTCAGATTCATCAGGTTTGTTTGCCGCCTCATATCACCACTTACCAAAAGCTCAAGCACAGGCTACATGAGATCTTCTTCCCCGATGATCCTTTCTACATTTTCAAGAACCAGACGTGTTGTAGAAAATTTGTTCTCGGTTTACGGTATGTGTTTCCCATTTTGGAATGGGGCTCCAACTACAGCTTTTACCTTTTTAGATCTGATCTTATTGCCGGACTCACCATTGCCAGCTTAGCTATCCCTCAGGTGAGATACCTATTATCCATGACACCCGACCACCTGTTTTTTATTTTTTATTTTTATTTTATGTTTTCGTACAAAGCGATTGCTGGATATCTCATAATCTTTTGAGAAGGAGCTTGTTAGCAATGGAAATTTCTCATATTATGCGGAGCAGGTTCTAGTTAATTATTGATTTCATGAAAAGCGAAGAGAAATTTTCTCATAGTTCCGAAGTCCAAAATGAGGAATGTTTTGTGCCTTCAGTGAACTTACAGTGAAATCACTGTTTTGATGTATTGATTAATTTTGCATATTGCAGGGGATCAGCTATGCCAGACTTGCCAACTTGCCTCCAATAATTGGGTTATGTCAGTATTAAATGTTAATAATTCTTGTTTAAAAAAATTCTTGTAAATTAATTTATATGTTTTGCAGATTCAAGCTTTGTGCCGCCATTGGTATATTCTGTGCTTGGGAGTTCTAGACATATCGGTATTGGCCCAGTCTCTATCTCATCTTTGGTCATGGGCACAATGCTGGATGAAGTGGTTCCGTTTAGAAAGAACCAACGTCTCTATATCCAGCTTGCTTTTACTGCCACATTAGTTGCTGGTTTACTTCAAACTTCTTTAGGTCTGTTTAGGTACGAACCATCATGCTTCCTACAATTTTTGGTGCTTTTTCTGTTCATATGTTTAATTGCATGGGTTTCATGAGCATATAATGTAAAATAACATCAAATGCTATATGTATGATTCGATGAGAACCCTGAGGGCAAGGGTATGAATGTGAGATAGAAAGGAGCAAGAGTGGGGGGAAAGAAAAAATAAAACATTATGTTTATGGATTATTTTCAAAATCTAATATGATGGAAAATCTTTTAAAATATCTGCACTTAATTTATTTAAAATACATCAGAAATTAAATTTAATAATTTATTTTTTATATTAAGATATACCAAGAATTAATTCTTGTACAATCTTTTAATTATTGTGCTAAGTGGTCCATGCATCACCTTAATGCAGAGAGCGAGTGTTTAGTTTTGAACTTCAAGTGATGGTGGATAGTTTTCTGTAGCTTGTTGCACTTTTTCAAATCTTATTTTTGAAATTGTATTGTGGTTTTGCTTCTGAGTTTATTTAAGTTTTGACCTTTTAGGTTAGGCTTTATTATTGATTTTCTGTCAAAGGCAACTCTGATTGGATTCACGGCTGGAGCAGCAATCATCGTTTCTCTACAACAGCTTAAAGGATTGCTTGGGATTACCCATTTTACGGGCAAGATGCAGGTCATTCCTGTTATGGATTCGGTTATCAGTAGTCGAAATGAGGTGAGAAGCTAGAATACTAAAATTTAGCTTCTATTCGTGACATAACTGAGGGAGGCAGAGAGATGAGAAATGAAGAGATTTTTCTGCCCTGTATGTGCAGTGGTCGTGGAAAACTGTCGTGATGGGAGGCTGTTTCTTGGCATTTTTATTGACCACAAAACATATAGTGAGTAGAACGATAATCAAACTCAAATTTAATTACATGTTACTAACCTTTTGTTACTTGGTTATGCACATCAGAGTGTGAAGAAGCCGAAACTTTTCTGGATTTCAGCTGCAGCTCCACTAACATCTGTTATTTTGGCTACACTTCTAGTCTTCTTTTTCAGGTCTGCATTTCAAGATATTTCAAAAGTAAGAACATATATGTATATATTTTTAATTAGTTTTTTAGCAATCAAATATTTCTGCATCCACGTTATTTTTCTCTAATGATTATTAACTTTGCTGGCCATGAAACAGATTGGTCGGCTGGCAAAGGGATTGAATCCACCTTCAGTAAACATGCTATATTTCCACGGCCCTCATCTTGGCCTTGTATTTAAAACGGGCATTGTAACTGGCATCTTGTCTCTCACTGTAAGTTCTCATATTTACTTAAACATATATCAATAAGTTCGGGCACCTGAAATTCTACTTCTTGTCTTTCATAGTTGTAATGATTAATTATGTAAATTAAAATAATTATTAAAAAAATAATAGTAATAATTAACAAATAAAATAAGTCATAAAAGCAAATGCACACTAATTTTTACATTAAAAAAAAAATTACTGATCGAACTCTAAAATCATATTTACAATTTACGAAGGGGTACAAAATAATCCCCAAAGATTAAAGCCGAAAATAGGGAAAAAAAAAAAAAAAAAAAAACTTAATTAATCATGAGAGAGAGAGAGAGGAAATCGATATAAAAATGTGGTGTGGGTTGTGATGATGAGAGAGAAAATAATAAAATATTAATATTGTTTTTGCTTTCCAGAGGCGAGCCATCAACTTCGTGTGTGTGTTCGTGTGTGTATGAAACCTTTCACTCTCCTTTCTCTTTCTTCTCTCTTCTTTCCTCACACACAAACAGAGACTCTCCTTCTCTTTCTTTTTCTTTCTGCTTTCTTCTCCACTCGGCTTGCACTTCTCCGCTTCAAGGCTTCTCGTTTAATAGGCGAGAGATGCCGTGAAGATCAGTTTTCTAACCCGGAAAATCTTCCAAAAATATTGTGAATGGATTTTTCACCATGCCGTCGAAAATCCGTAAAAAGTCACTGACATATCATTTTCGGTTACGTTTACGGCTTCTCCTTATGGTGATGGGCTGGAACTAACAACTGAAACTTCAGAAATTTTGGTTTATCAATTCAGGTGTTTGGAAATATAAATTGCACAGTTTATTGGATTTAAAGTAGCATCTTAACTTTCTGGGGACTAGAAATTCCGATCATAATTTAGTTAATAGGAATCGAGTCAAAATTATCTGGAGTTTGACATATTTCTAACCATTTATTTTCATTCATAAGGAAGGAATTGCAGTAGCAAGAACTTTGGCTTCCCTTCAGAATTATCAAATTGATGGAAACAAAGAAATGATGGCAATTGGTCTTATGAACACGGTTGGTTCTTTCTGTTCTTGCTATGTCACTACTGGTAAGCACCTCTTGCAAAACTGTGCTCTGTTGACAGTTAAATATTACATTTACAGGAGGCTGATAAACATTTTTTATACATTCAACTTTTAGGATCATTCTCTCGATCTGCTGTGAACTACAATGCTGGAGCGAAGACAGCATTTTCAAATATAGTCATGGCAGCAGCGGTGCTTGTAACTCTGTTATTTCTAATGCCACTTTTCAATTACACACCCAATGTTATCTTAGCAGCAATGATTGTTGCAGCTGTTGTTGGCTTGATTGATTATGATGCTGCTTTTAAGTTATGGAAGCTTGATAAGCTTGATTTCTTGGCTTGTTTCTGCTCCTTCTTTGGTGTTCTGTTCATCTCAGTGCAGATAGGGCTAGTCATAGCTGTAAGTAATTTTTAGTTTCTTTCCGTTCATTTCAATTCTTTTATTCTCTATTGTCCATTTGATTGACTTGAAATCTTTAATCTTATGAGTGAAAGAGGAGATCGTCTGAAGTTTTCTCTTGTTAAATTTCTGTACACTTGTATCACTTGGTGTTGGTAAATCAGTGATAGTAATTTATTCAACTCATCATCTTGTAAATATGAGGTTGTGACTTCCATACCTGACAAGCTCCATTGAGGCCAAAAATGGTGCCATCGATGACATTCCAGTTTAAATGGGTCTGGGAGGCTGAGGATCCCAGGTCCACGAGGTCCCCCCTCAAATCTTTTTGTATTATTCAAAAAGAAAACAGTTGATTTGCTTTCTTTTAAATGCACTGCACATTACCAAGGGAAGTATTTTATTTTTTTAGGCCCTATAGAAATATGCAAAATTCTATATCTATATGTATTACTAATGACTTGAGACCCAATTATCAACAAAAAATCTATGAACATAAAATAATGATTTAATGTCTCACAAGGATTGAGAGTTCCTTTTTTTTTTTTTTTTTTTTTTCTGATAACTTCAGGTTGGAGTTTCAGTATTCAAAATTATTCTGCATGTTACGAGGCCAAATACCATTATATTGGGGAACATTTCAGGCACTCAAGTATATCAAAGTCTCAACAGATATGAAAAAACGTTAAGAGTGCCGTCTTTTCTCATCCTAAGCATTGAATCTCCTATCTTTTTCGCAAATTCAACTTATCTCCAAGAGAGGTCAATACTTAATAGCATCTCTCATTTCTATGTCTACAGGTCAAAGCTAATTCAAGAAAATTGTGGTGAATTATATAAATGTTTGAAGATCTTGTTGGTCGCCTAATTCATTATATTATTCTAGGATCGTAAGATGGATTCGCGAGGAGGAAGAGAGGATTGAAGAAAATCAAGAAGCTTCCTTGAGATGCGTGATTCTGGACATGACAGGTATGTAGAGAAATCGAGTAATCTACCTTGAATTCCATCACAGTTGCCTACCTTGTTGCTTAACAAGTGAAAAACTAAATTTTTATTTTTTGCTTATTGATGTTTCAGCAGTAACAGCCATAGACACAAGCGGTCTTGATGCTATTTCTGGACTTGATGCCATGATAAAAAGAAGATCTCTTCAGGTAAAAAAACACTCAAATCCTTTTTATGCGTAGAAACCTTACTGATAGCTAGCTGTCATTTTTTCTAAAAAAGAAAATCTTTTTTTTTTTTTTTTACCTGGAAAATCTCACGACATGCCGAGGCTCTTCGATGATGTTAATGGTACTCTTTTATAGCTTGTTCTGGTAAATCCTGTTGGAACTGTGATGGAGAAGCTCTACCGTTCAAAAACGTTGGATTTGTTTCAATCAAACGGTCTTTATTTGACTATTGGGGAAGCAGTCACTGATATTTCATCTTCATGGAGAACTTCACCGTGATTTTTCCCAAGAAATGTCTCCATGAAGAAGGATATTTGGCTCTGCATAGAGAGCTTGTGTATATAATTTTTGTAAGTTGCATTGGCAGATTTCAAGCTTGAACTCTTTTGCACTTTAGATTTAAACTTAACAAAACAGCCTCAATTTTAGTGCAGGACAAGGCTTTGTTTGAGTAGGAGTTAGTGTCCTTACGTGTACAATGTTGAATTCACATCCCCGTAGAAGTAGGTGGATTGTGTCTACCGAGTAGCTAATGAATAGTTAGTACTACTCTTACATTTTTAATGTTTAAGTTTATTCAGATTTTTTTTTTTTTTACCTCTAATAAATCTGAATTGAATTAAATAAGTTCATATTATTTTCAAAATTAATCGTATAAATAATAATTATCTGGCCAATGTAGAGATAATTGATAGTCAAAACCTCAGGTTCACTTGTTTTATCCTAGAAAAAGATATCTAACGTAAAAATGAAAGAAATGGAAGCACCCGAAAGGAGATAAATAAAATGTGGGTAGAAAACTAAAAGCAGGAATTGAGCGAGAGAATTAAGTTGGATGGTCAGAGAAAGATTACATCCGTGAACACGTCAGTTGAAAAGGAGACATTGAAACTGAGAGAGAATGTTTTACTTATTTTGGGAACATAATTTAACCAGGAGGAAGAGACAGAGATGAAAGGAGTCGTCGTCATCCATGACGAGTCTTAAATCCGCCACCACCGCCGCCGCCACCTCCGAATCCTCCTCCTCCGCCACTACCTCCACCAACACCACCTCCGAAGCCTTCTCCGAAGCCGCCACCAACTCCTCCTCCGAACCCACCACCACCCCCCCAGCCGTTACCCCCATCAGTCCCTCCGCCTGCTCCACCACCAAACCCTTCGCCAATGCCTCCCCACCCGCCCCCACCACCACCACCAAATCCCCCGCCACCTCCGATCCCACCACCACCACCTTCACCGCCACCGCCACCAAAGCCACTACCACCACCACCAATAGCCCCTCCATTACCTCTGCCTGCGCCCCCACCGACCCCTTTGCCAACCACCCCGTTTGTGCCACCTCTGCCACCCCCTTTGCCAATTCCTCCGCCACCAAAGCTACTACCCTCACCATTTCCTCCCCCAACTCCTCCTCCTCCTCCTCCTCCTCCTCCTCCTCCTCTATTGCCAATCCCTTGCCCAACGCCTTCACCACTACCTCCTCCAATTCCACCACCATGATGATGTTTTTTCTCCTTTTTCTTATGATTTTTTCCATTACCACCACCACCAACTCCAATCCCTCTGCCACCGTCACCACTCCCATTACCTTCACAATCTGGCTTACTACCAGCACTAGTAACAGGATTTCCATAGCTAAAGCTAAATCTCACACCCCTACCAAAACTAAAAGAATGACCAAAACCACCCTCATCTTTCCCTCTGCTAATAGATCCCCGGTTACCATCAATAACCCACTCTGGTTTCTTCACTGGTTCGTCACTACTCTTCTCATGGTGTCCAAGTACTTCCCAACCCACAACAGACTCCAGAGCCACACACAATAAAATCCAAAAACCCGTCCGCCAAAACTTGGTAACCACCATGGTTGACCAGACACTGCAAACGCTTTACGTAATGAAAAGCTCTTTCATGGGTTTATATAGAAGAAATTTGCAACCCTTGAAGCTGTTTTCTAATAGAAAATAATGAAAAACGAATTGAATCCATTGTGGTTAGAAGTTGGGTGCGGGATAAAATTTATTGCTGCACCGCAAGCTTTACAAAAGGCAAGTGAACCAGCTAGACCTTCATGTCCATGATCTGCGTGATTGCTTCATTTTTAAATTTGCTTTCGTGGTTATGGCAGCAAAGCAACGCAGAAAGAAGAAGATTGAACTTTGCATCACGTTGCCTGAAAGAAGGTAACAAATTAATATTCCAAAATAATAAATAGGATGTCTGGTATATATATACACACAGACAGATAAATGAACGGCTTTATTTGGGAAGATGCTCATAAATGGTAATTGGCTGACACTTGCAAGGTCTTTTCTAGTCTTATTTTGAAAAAATACCGACGAATAATCATGGAAGCAGCAGCAACATTCCTTCAATGACTCACGGGACATGCTTGACATGGTAGATTCCAACATTTAAAATCGTAAGCATGACAGTGAAAGTTTGGTTGACAATTTGAAAAATAAATATAGTTTCTAATTTCCATTTTCTAACCACGAAATCAATAAACTTTTGCAACAATGATGGTTGTAAAGATTGTTGGAATGGTAACTGATAGTGTTGATTGTCTGAATCAAGACGTTGAAGACAATAAAAAATGACCGCAATAATATAAAGAGTGCAAAACTGGTGGTTATAATAATAAAAATAATAATAATAATATCAATAACTTTTGAATAAAAAAATTTTATTAGTATATTACTTCTTAATAAAAATAAATAATTTTGTTCTAATTGTAAGTAAGATATCTGTGGCAAGAAAATTTATTATCCCTCAAACCTAATCTGTAGACTGACAATATTTTCCCTTTGTAACTCTTGCAACAACCAAGCAAGAGTACATAAACCATGGAAGATCCAAAGATCATTGCTCTTAATTACCTCCTCAAACCAAACAATTAATTTAGAAAACTTGTTAAAAAAGTATTTGTGTAGAGTTTTAAAATTTTAACTCAGTTAAAGGATATTAATTATTTTTTAAATTTTCTGAGGAAAACATTAGAGGTATAAAAAGTAATTTTTTTATTATTATTAATTTTCATTTTATATTTTATTTATAAAATACATAAGCCCTTGTTTTTGTTTCTTTCCATAGGCCCAGCCCAATAAACACTGAAAAGCAACAGCACTACGCAAACCAAATCAAAACACTAGAACTTAGGGTTTCCTCTCTCGAATTGAATCTATTCGCTCTATTTGATTTTAGAATCTGAATCTTTAGTAAAACACCATTCAGTTCTCTCCTATAACAACCCCCTCAAATATCTCATAGTATAAAATTCTTGCCTTATTCGTTTTTTCCATCTCAGATTTTAATCAACTGTGTGCTTTGCTTTTCGCTTTGCCACGCAACGAAAAATGGGCGATACTGATGATGATGAGAGGTACCTACAAAAATCCCACTCTTCCAATCTCAAAAAACATCTTTTTTATTCCCATCCAATCCAGAAGCTTAACGACTATTACCTAGAAGGAGAAGATGATGATGCTGACAATGAAGATGAATGCAACGATTACTTTGAACAAAAGGGCAACGAAAATGGCGCTCAACGGGATAACCCTAATGGGTACTATCCGAATTTCGAAGAAAATGACGGTTTTAATAGATATCCGAAAAGGCAAAAGTTAAGAAACTCGATTCCAGGTAATGAATTTGCGTTAGCAAGTGATGCAAAATTGTTTGATGGTTGGACAGAGCACGAGGCCTTTGTGTTGCTGGAGGTGTGGAGCGATAGGTTCTTGCAGTTGGGGAGGAGGAGCTTGAGGAGTGAAGATTGGATTGACGTTGCGGACAAGGTAAGCGAAGAATTAAGGATTGACAAAAAGAAGGCGCAATGCAGGCAATTAGTAGATAAACTGAAGAGAAAGTATAAGAAGGAGAAGGTGAAGGTGGAGAAACAAGGATTGAATTCGAGCAAGTGGGTGTTTTTCAGGAAGATGGATATGTTGATGGGATCTTCTTCTAGACAAGAAAGTGGATTGGCTTGCGGGGTGGATTCTGGGGAGTTTGTGTTCATGAACACGAGGGTATATTTGGATCGGTCCAATGGGTTTGATGAAATGGTGGATAGTCCAGACGGTTCAGAGATTGAGGACAATGACGAGGAAGGTGATGGGGATTATGGGAGAAGAGGGGGGATAAGAAAAGAGAGGAGTTCTTGTAGGTTATTGGCAGACTCAGTGCAGAAATTTGGGGAGATATATGAGAAGATTGAGATTAGTAAGAAGGCGCAGATGATGGAGCTGGAGAAAATGAGGCTAGAGTTTCGTAAGGAGTTGGAGTTGCAAAAGAAGCATATTCTAGAAAGAGTTGAAGCAGAGATTGCAAAAATACAAGAAGAAGATGGAGAGGAGGAGAATGATGATGTTTCTACAGAGAGTCTCAGTGAATAGCTACTGGTTTGTATCTACTTCCAAAATGTTTGCTTGCTAGCTGGGTGTCTACTTGTTTAGTATTTTACATTTGGAAAGTCTTATTTTTTTGTTAAAAGATCTCTTGGTCATCATACTGGCTGGACACGTAAACATTTAGGGAGAAACAACTCCAAGAAAATGAATACATTCTTAATTCCTTATTAATTCCTTTGTTACTTACTTTTGATGATTAGCCTTATTTGGATAAAGTAGTGATGCAGTGCCCTTCGTTTTAGTGAAACATAACATCAGAGAAGTAGGAGAAACAAATATTTAACTATATACCTGCTAATTAATTTTGAGGTGCTGAGTTTTTATTGGTGCGAAAAAATGAAAACACGACAATGTACTCTTCTCTTGTTCAGGATTCAAATATTTTGTTATGTTATCTGCTTCTCTTGATTGTTGAACAGAATATGCGGGTATTGTATGATTGTCTCTTTGCTTTATACCAGGAAAATTTGGTCAGAGGGTAGATCTTCTACATGCAAATTTAGGACATTCTTTTTATGTATAGTGTCTCTATCGGCTTGTTAGCATGTTATACCTGTGGCTTTTATTGGGTCTCATACTTTGCTGTCCTGGAAGGGAAATAGAACAGCATTGCTATATCCTTTCAAGTATCCTCTCTAGTGCCTAAGGCTGTATTGCCCTCTTTCGGATACTTTTGGTGCCCATAATGATATTGGAGATGCTATATTTACTTGAGTTTTTCATTTATTGTATAATATAATCGGATACTGTCATTAACTCTTTTCCTCTCGGAAATTTGACTATTCTCAGCAACTAAGTTTTTGGAAGGATGATTACATTTCCAAGTGGTGTAACTGTTTTGGACAACAGATCCTGTATTCTCACTTTGGCAAATTATAACTTGTGCAAGTTCTTTTAGCAGTTTGAGGTTTTCTGTTTGTGGTAGGAATGGATATTTCACTTCAGCAGTCTTTACTTGTAAGTGTTCGACTCGGATTTATTTACTATATCTTCTGTTGGTCCAAATCTCACATGCTACATAAATTGGATACGTTCTCCTTGTCTTATTTATCCTATCTTGAAACTGGCGAAGAGTCATTCTGACAAGATGAAATATGATTTCACGAAGTTTTCTGTTAAAGCAAATGATGTACATTTTTCTTGAATTCTTACTGCATCATTAAATCTGCATGAAGAAGCCATTAGAAAATAATAGGGACTTATCTTTTTCTCCATGGTACACTACAGCTTTCTCCCATTTTGTTTGGGAGGTGTTTTGAGCTTGACGGTTGGATAATATGAACATGTATTGGCATGGACTGCAATTATTGATTTTGTTTTTTTTTTTTTTTGTGAGGATTTATGATAAATTTAGATAGCGGTTGGAATTTTCTTTGTCACATTTGAGTAATTCTAAGCACTATATTTTAATTTATATATTTGGTAAATAAATAAATGAGGTGTTTATGAGTACATGAAAATAACTTTTAAAGTAAAAAAGATAATTTATCACATCCCTAATTTTTTTGTGGGTATTTATTTTTAAATAAATATGTGACTGCTTTAAGAAACTAAAAGCACCTTATGCTATAACTAATTTAAAGGTAAAGCATTTTTTTTTTTTTTGCAGGTGTTTATCATCGCTCCTACTTAAAATTTCTTGACGATGAGAGTTTCCTACCTTGCGGAGATCAAATTTTAGCATAGAAAGATCCAAGGTGGGCAGTAAGAGTTCAGATACAAGAAGTTAAATTTTAACCATGCATGTAGTATAAGATTTAATAGTGGAAATTGAAGGGAAAACAACCAAATATAACTTTTGCTGTTAAATACAAAAAGTTCTTTCTTTGGACCATAGTTAAAGTTTTGATTGATACTTAGTGAATCTGTAAGCTTCTGGAATATATGTGTAGTTGTACTTCAGGTTTTCAGACTTCAATTCCTGCATTTGTATGCATGGTCAGTGTTGTGACCCCTGGGCAATCTTATTACAAGAAGGTGCCAAGAGAAGAAGCTTCTTGTAATAAGATCAACTAGGGTTTTGTTTGTCTGAATCCCTATGAATCATATGATAAATTAGTTTTTTAATTATATGATTAAAAAAGAAGTTTTTCTCCAGAAATCAATTAATTGCAAAGGCAGTTTTCCAAGTCTGCAAAGGCTGCTCTCTTTTTAGTTGTTTTCTAATTGAGATGTACCGAATGCATATATGGCACTTGTGAGATTCAGTTTATATTTGTCGATCTTATTAGAGATGGCAACAGTATTTGCACCTCAGTGGATAATAAATCAATTCGTGATGAGGTAGATTTTTTTTTTTTCCAAAAAAAGAAAATAGTGGTTATGGTTAGTTTGAATTAGAAACTTAAAAATTTTGGAGATTGGAACTGAAACAAAATTAGGTTTGCATAATACAAGTATAATTTATATATTTGTTCTAAAATTTATTATTAATTGAATTGCGATCAAATTTAGGGCATGTTCTATTGTGATGTCTAGTGTCATTCTGTAAGAAGGTATTGCCTCTATTTTGTCACATTTCACTAATTAGGAGTCCCTAATAAGTAATAACCAACTTATGCACCAACTGTTTCTTTTTCTTGTATGTTCATCCTGTTGAAGGAACTTGATGAGCTTTGATCTCCCTAAATGTTAAACTAAACACTCAGAAACTTGGAAAGTTTAAATATGATTTAACCTCAAATTCTCAAATTGAAAATTTAACATTTTCCACCTAAAAGAAACCAATTTAGTATCTTCAAATGTTATACTAACAACCATAGTTAGTATCTGAACGTAATATCTACATTATCTTGACATCTGAATTATAAACAGTAATTCATAAATTAAATTTTACATCGCTGCCATTATGAATAACTCAGAAACTAGCTTACCTGTCTTCCTTATCGTTTTTATCTAAGCCTCTACATTTCATCTTCAGGAAAAATCTCTTCCTTAAGTGACGGAGCTATCCACTGTATTTGGATGTATGTTATCTCCCATAGATCATCACCTTCGTTTGGAACCAAAATCTCCTCCTCTTTCATTTTGGCAGTCATGTTTCTCAGCAAATCTGGTACAACCTCTTTTAACAGTGTCTCTCCATATGTTCCCAAATCAGCCTTCATGCATGTATCCATTCTTCTTAATACTCCCAGCCAAAATGTCCTAAAATCAGGATTCTCTGCTATCTGCTTTAAATATTGCATGTACACATCTTTCAGCAATTCCATTGCAATCCTCAGAGTCCCTTCCATGCTTCTCATTTCCCTCTCTGAATTCTCACGTCTCGAATACTCTAGCATTTTTTCATGCAGATCATCAACCATGGCGAATATCACAAGATTGAAACAGTTAATGCAGTTAGTTGATGTTAATTCAAGTTCTTCAGCCAGTAAAAAACTCTTGCGCAAAGCAATGATTGCTCGATTTCTTATCTCCTCTCGTCGTGCTAAGCTAGTTTTGCGAAGTGCCTCTCCTAGTTTGATAAACAAATTGAGGCCAAAGTTAGGACCCTTTGAGTAGTCCTCTAACGATGAAACACTCGCGCTGCTTGTAGTACTGTAACTGTTCCCCGGTTCAGAGCAGGCATTCTTGTACCATTGAATCAATAAAGTTACAGAATTTGACAATAGATCCAGTATTTTCAGATTCTTCTCCAGCGGACTGTTTTTGAGTGCTACAAAGCCAAATGCACAGTCAATACAGTATGCATAGTTTGTTCTGGAAACATGGGTTGCATCTGACATCAATTTGATTAAAGCCTCGACGGATTGATCATATGTTTCTGGATGTCTGCCACAGACTGATAACAGATGGAGGACTGATTTCCATCCAAGTTGAGTCTGTAAATTTGCAGGGTATTCATTGATGATGTTGCTTACTGATTGTATTATGAACTCACAACATGTATCGAGTATTTCCTTATCAAGCTTCCACATCAAATTTATGGACTTGAAAAGGTTCTCCTCTGGGATTCGTTCCACTTGACAAGAGGAAAGAAGCCTGAGACAAACCTTGAAAAGACCAACAATGGCTTTCTCTGCAAATGGTATAGGGGAAAATAAAGGAAACTGGGCCACTCCTAATAAAAAATCATGGAAATAAGGCCAAAATGCTTGGAATCTGTGAATGTTGGCTAAAGCAATGGCAACAATCAAGTCCCAACAAAAGCCAACAGTTTCTTCTTCTTCAACTGGTGTGCTAAATTTTTGGCCTTTTCCACCAGCTGCGAATATCATGGAACGCCCAAGATTGAGCAAAGACTCGTCAGGCAAGCTTGAACTATTGCTGAAGATGTTTCCAATTTGACACTGTTTGATAATCTTTTGATTTTGTTCATATTCGCTCATGCCAAGAGATACAGACTCTTCTATGCTTTCTAATGATACAAAATGAGAGAACCGACTTAGTATACTAGTGCCTGGGCGCTTACTACATTTATGGTCATGATTAGAGGACATTACACTCGATTCAGATTTCGAGTGACCCGGTGCATCAGCTGATGAGGAAGTTATATCAAATTCAGTCACTGATTGGGGAAGTATCTTAAGTCTCTTGAGTTTTAATAAGCAATCCACAATATTCCTCCAACCCCCTCGAATTGAGTCTCCAAAGTGGTTTGCAATAGTAAAAACTGCAAGGGTTGCCATTCTCGGTTTCATATCATGACTAAATGCAAACAGTGTCTCTTCTGCCGTGGCATAAGGATTTAACAGTGTAGTAAATTTGCAGAATGAAGCAACAAGCTCATCCAGGGTATCTTCTAGTCCATACTGAGCTATTCTAGCCATGGATATCAACCCATCAATGCATTCATGGAGCAATTCGTCTTCATCAGCATGCTCAAAGAATGCTGAAAGTGCTGCAATTGATGGACCAGCAATGCAAGCAAACATATCTCTGCCTATTCTACGATCAAAATCACAGAGGATGAAAGGCTGCACTTTTTTTGATCTATTCATTAGCTCAATCCATCTGCTAGGACTCATTTCTACTGACCCCGATTGACCAAAAACTGTGATTTCATGGGTTGAAATGGAGTGAAAAAGTTCAGAGAGGTATTCTCTTGGAAGATCCTTTCCTCCATTGATTGCTCTATTGTTTTTGATGAATTCCTCTTCTGTCATTTTCCTCTTCACCTGTGGATTATGTTGATCAGTGTTTAGCATAATGAGGGAGTAGCAAAGGATTAAAACTGTATCTTTACTTGCAAACATTTCTAAGGATTGTTGATCATAAAATCGGTCTGAAAACGCTTCTAAGATTCGTTGAATCTTCTGGGACTCTCCTGGCAAGCGAAATGTTTCCAGATATCTTCGGAGAGCAGAATCAAGAACCATTCCTGAAAATTCAAAAGTTTGTGTGTATTCTCTGAGGACTTGAATGTGGAAGTCATCAGGATTCCCAAGATATTCTCCAATCATCATCTTGTCCAGCCCAGGAGTGTGTCGAAAAAAGAAAGCAAAGCACTTTGGATCAGGTGGATCAGACACTAATTGACTAAGCATTAGGTACTCTAAACCTTTCTTTTCATCTCTATTGAAATGGTTTGAAGCAATGAGAATCTTCCTTTTCTGTGCTTTCCTTAACCTTATATGTTCCACCCATTCCTCTAGATCCTCTTTAGGCATCTCCATCCAAAAGGGTTTGTATTCGGTGATTTCAACTGGGTATGGACCAGAAGGGGTTGAATCATCTTCTTTATCTACATGATCTGCAATATTGTGAATTAGGATGACAAGTCCTTCAAAGGCTTGAATTTGTATAGATGTCATGGGGCCAGAACCTGGAAAAGAGTGCTTGCAAAGCAGTTTCCCAACTTCCTCAAACAAACTTCGACAAGGGGGATCGCAATCATAGTTTGCATAAGCTTCAATTATGAAGGTAGATTGTCTGCAGAAATTTATCATACCTTCAAGCCCAACTTCTTGGAGCTGCATGGAGCTGCCAAGAGCTACATTTTTTAGAAGTACAAATGAGAAGAAAGCTTCCAGTTGGAGGCGAACAAACCTGTGAAAAAAGGAAATTTAACCATTAGATGATGATCAATTCCTTTCCTTTTGATTTGTCATTTTTCAAAGGTCAGAGAATTTAAACCTCCGAAGAAAGTGATATATATTTAACACAGTACTGCAAATCATGGAGAGGACAAGCGGGCTCGAACTGGTCCCATAATGGATTAAATGGTGAAACAGATCATCTTGGACCATTCTCAGAAGTTTTGGGCGTTTCCCAATCCCATCACCACTTAATTCAATCGCTGAATTAATTAAAACCAGAGCAAAAAGCTGAACATCTTCATCAGCCGTATGATATGAAGTTCCTTCTGTCTCTACAAGTTCCACTACGTTCAGCAACGAACACAAAAAATGAAATATATCAACTGCAGAACGTAATCCATAACCCGAATCCAAGGCATTTCCATCGGCATCTTCTGTATCAGATTCTGAGTTATCGTCATTAACCTCAAAGTCAGGTAACCGTGAAAAGATTATCTGAATCAACTCGTGCATTGTAAACCTCGCGTTTCGCTGAAGCAAATCCCCTCGCCCTGCAGATTGTTGAACGACTTGAAAGCACGTATTGACAATAGTACAAACTGCCTGATCAGTGAGCAAATCAGAAGCGGGATGCTTCATTATTCCAGTTAAGACCTGCAAAATCTTCATCATCACAGACTCCTCGGAAACCTGGTTGGTCTTCTCCAGCCGACAACCTGTGATCCCTGTCACAATCGAATTCATTGCATCCTTGGCTCCGGGAGTCTTCTCGTCGAAGATTTCAAACTTGACGATCTTCAAAATGGCGGAGAGCGAGATCCCCGTCGCTGCAGCTGGGATGTCATCGCTCTGTATCACATCGAGAAACGGGGAGAGGTAGATAGAGGGATCGATCGTTCGCCATTCCTGCTGGGGATTGAAGATGAGAGCGCGAAGAGATTTCAACGACTGCTGGACTGCAGAGTCGTAGTGGTCGTCATGGAGGGAGATGTATTGGGTGTTGGGGTCTTGTGGCCGCCGAATGACGGCGAGAACAGCACCAACCTCGGTGTTTAACATGCAAGAAAGGCCGAGCTCTTTCCTCTTGGATTTTGCAGCGTCTTTCTTTCTTCCGCAGCATGATATGCAGCCGTTTTGGTTGCCGCCTTCTTCTTCTTCTTCCCGATTTCGATCCCTTGGTTTCTTCATTTGCTATACAGAGGAAAGGGAAAACTTTTTCGGAGTTGTTAAAAAACGGTTGAGAATGGAAATTGAGGGAACGAAGTGGGGGTTTCTGGCGTTGGGCAGTTGTGGCGTCGTTTTGAGAGTGGGGGACGACCGTTTTAATGATACCAAACAACGCTGGGTTGATAGGATAGGAATGAAATTGGAGGGCATTTTAGGGAAAATAAAATATTTGTTTGTTAAAACTTGAAAGCCTGGGGGAGATTGATGTCCGGATTTCTTGGTAAACAAGAGGCTAATGTAAATTCCTTGAGCCAAAAGCAAAACTGAAGTAATTGAATTTTTTCTTTTAATTAACTAAAATATTGGCTAAGAGCAAAGATTAAATTGTGGAGTAAAGACCGGTTCCAATGATCCATTCACTGATACAATTGCATTATTTAAGTATTTTTAGGTTTTTATTGTTTATAATAACTAAAATTAATTTCAGACTTAAATTATGAAAAACCTGGAAGAACAAATTTAAATTCATTTGGGAAGTACTCCAGATTATTTTTTATTTTAATTATCGATTTATTTACAAACATTTTGTAATGTATACAAAACTAAATTTTGAAAAAGAAGATAAGATCACAGAAAGATAATACAAAACCCCGAGGTGTCAATATCTAATTATTTTGATGTTCAGACCGTACAGAAAAATGCGGCGTTGCCTAACCATACCTCCATGATCCAAAGCAAAAAGCTTTCCTCTACGTGATCCCCTCAAAACATAACAGAATTAATCAATGGGCACTTTAAAAACCAAATTTACAGGAACCAGTTAGCCAAGCAACACCGCTATAGGCAGAGGATAGGAATGTAATATACATAATCATTTCAAATCTAGAACCTCTACAATGCAACCCTAACCCTTTCCGGCACTTCAATTGCTCAACCTATGTGAATTCTTGACCTCATGCCACAAGCAAAACAATGTGTCATACGCATCATCATCCTCCTCAAGACTAAACTCGGGGAGTTGGGAGATATTCATCAGGTTCTTCAGCCAGTCCTCGTGAAGAGTTGAGAACTCCGATCTCTGTTCACTTGACCTGAAATTCTTCCCAATTGATTTTTTCATTACCCTGGCTGCCTGTGAAGCAGCTTCAACAACTTGTTCTGGAATCCCAGCCATGATTGCCACTTGCAGTCCATAACTCTCTGGGCAAGCTCCGGCAGTAAGGCGGTAAAGAAAAACCAGTTCACTGTTACTTCTTGAGCAGCCTTTTGACTCTGTCGTAAAAGCACAGGCCATGTGTTGCAGTGTAACACGTGGATGTGAAGCAAATTCCTTCGTGAGAGGATGATAGTGTGTTGCAAATAGTAACCGGCAGTTAACCTTTTCAACAAGATGACGAAATACCTAGAAAAATTTTGTATTTTATCACAAATTGCAAATTAACACTAATTATGTGTAAGTATAAGATATGAGCTGTTCCGGTAACTAAGAGTATAAAATATGTGCTCTTCTGGTAGCTAACACGACAATATGTCCAAAGTTAAATGTAGCCTTAGAAGCTAGTATCCTCTGTCAATAAAAGTTACCAGACCCGAAAGTTAAATATACATTTGCATCAATTTGAAGTCATTTGCTGGAAGTACATATAGCTCCAACTGATAAGCATGGAGCATCCATAAAGGCCTCCAAAGATCCGTACTAAAACTAAATGTTCGAATGATCATGACAATGTCAGCAGTCAGCTACACAAGTTTAAGGAATAATCATTAACTTGTTGCACAGGTCAAGTAGGTAATCTCCTTTGGTATAAATTCCTACAGGCAAATATGGTACGTGTACAAACATAAACATCCTTTGCTGGTAGGGAGTTATTTAATATGACAGTCTTTTCAATCAGAAAGGTATGTAGTTATATAAAAATGCTTTAATAAGACAAACTCACCGAGGTTAAATTTTGAAAATAAATTTGACTTTTAAGACACTTTTATAGATTAGTAAAAGATTAGAAGCTTACAGCAAATGCAATGGCATATCCATCAAAAGTACTTGTTCCTCGACCCAGTTCATCAAGAAGAACTAGAGAATTTCGAGTAGCATTTTGAAGAACTGAAGCTGTTTCTGTACATTCAACCATGAAGGTACCTGCAAAATTGGGGTTGCTGCATTAGATATTGTAGTTCAATCAAAAGCTATGAGTTACTTCGATGGATGCATCCTATATGCTACATTTTCATGCTTTAAGGTAGCCAGGTTTTCTGTGTGCAGGAGTCAACCATCCACTGCAGCGCTTGTTCCATAAATGATCATATCTCCTGTTTATTATTGACTGACGACCATTAAGACTAAATCACCATAGCAAATGATTTGATTCCATTGGTCAAAGATTGTCTAAAAATAAACATAAAATTGCCCCTTCTGAATCCATATGAATCCCTCTTGTCAAGTTTTACAAACAAAAGCCCAATCCGAAGCAGCCAAGAGTAAAATTGTTGTATACAAATGAAGAACTGTTAATTTGCCAAAGAACTTACTCTCTCCTGTCATGATACGGTCAGTAGCACCAAGCCTTGTGAAAATAATATCTACAAGTGAGAGGATGCACATTTCACAGGGCACAAAACAGCCCAACTGCAAATCAGAAAATAAAATACATGCAAGGGAAACAAAGGTCAATATAAGACTATTAACCATAACCTAAGAGAAATTATTCACGAATGTTCCTAGCTTCTTTGTAAAATAGAAAGAAACAAACAAACCTGTGCAAGTATAACAGCTAGACATGTTGCACGTAAAAGAGTTGATTTCCCACCCATATTAGGTCCAGTCAATAACAAACAACAGGGATGACAGCCATCTGAATCCTCACCAAGAAGTATGTCATTTGGGACAGGCAGTGCTCCATTCTCCCCGAGAGCAAATGGATGCCACAACCTTCCAATTCTTAGTACTGGTCCTCTTGTTTCTTGGTTCAAAGTAGAAAACTTTGATTCAGGCAAAACAACAGGTCTAGTCATGGCACCAGATGACGTAATTCCGGTGACCGCAAAAGATCTTAGCACGTCAATACAACTGATGGCGTGAATGACTTCAGACCATTGAGTAGCTTTCTCAGTAAATAATTCAATCAGTATTGACAGTATCTCAGCATCCTTGTCTGTTACAGCATGGTTCTAGTACCACATACTACGTAAGTTATATGCCAGAATTTAGTACTAAAACAAGTAAAATCACCAAAGCAATTTTTGGAAGAGAAAATGCCATAAATTTGAATGGATTGGCTGCAAATTTTCTAAACAAGTTCAATTTCTAACCATACCAAAATATCTAGCAAACTAACAGTAGGCACTCTTAAGATGGATAGAATTTCCCTCCCTCTCCCCCCTCCATCCCCCAAAAACACAAAAGAAAATAAAAAGGATAGGATAGATAGAATAACATTCATCATCAAGGTGACTTAGATGCCAGGTCAGTTGTGGAGATAAAGTATAAGAGTTCATTATTTCAAAACGAATTTGCAAAATTAAATGAAGCAAAGAATAAATGAGGAAAAAAAAAGTTGAGGCAGGTATATTTTATCAGTACATACCAGCATACAGTAACAATAAGTAACAAGAATGTCTCATCATAAAAGATGATGAACCAAGAAAATTGAAATTTAAAAGAAGAGAAAGCTTAATTCAGAACATCTTTAGGCAATCTATGATTCAGAAAGAAGCAAACCTGGTAATCCGGGAAGTCACTATCTATAGCTGCTTCAAATTGAGCAAGGAATTTATCAAGCCCATCATTACCACCTAGCATCGGAAGTCTAAAAACTTTATGTAATAAAGAGATAACATGCCCTTGCTTCTGTAAAAGCATCAACAAATCTAATCCATTACGGAGACCTTTAATAAGAGAGCCAAATGCTTTTACCTGTAACACAATTCCAGAAGTTAAGCAGAAATAAAGAAATCTGAAATGAGACAAGGAAACTTGAGAGTAAGGTAAAACAAAACGTTGATTTTGGTACACAGTAACCTTGTGCATTTTCTTTGCAAAAAGACATTTGCAAGGAATGCAGGACCCTTCTTGACTAATGATAAAATCAATAAAACAAAGTGATAATAGGGATATTTCTTGTGAAAAGATAAATGTATGGGAGACTATCCAGACAAGACTTACTCGCTGTTTCAGCACTTTTTTGCCAACCATCGGCAGTAAAAGAGTAGCTGATGACTGAATACTGGCTTTAACACGTCCAAGAAGCCTGTCTAAATCAGGAAGTTTCCTAAGAGACTGGGAAACGAGCTGCAGTATTTCTGAATGTGCCATCAGAGCTTCAACTACATCAAGCCTGCTATTGATGCTGTCAACATTTTTCAGCGGATGGCAGATCCAGCTCCTTAAAAGTCGCTTACCAGATGTAGTCAAACAATTATCAAGATACTTGTACAATGTACCTAATGTCAATTAATTTTTTCTTAAATATGATGTCAGTTGATTAACTGAGTTACATATATAAATTTAGCACTTCTCCTGTCATTTGTATACTTAAAATGAACACTTGCCTGAAGGGCCACCATCAGCACTATTATTGAATATCTCAAGATTTACCATTGTCTGCCCATCCATTCTAAGGCATCCAGTATAAACATGGTATGGTAAAATATCTCCATTCCGCAATACATCATCTAACTGCAAGAAAGTAGAACTTATCAAAATTATAGATGCACCTCTTTTCCTAATAAATACACATTAACAAGCAAGCAAGCTTACCATCAACCTGGATAGATGATCAACTAGTCCACCGAGAGCACATAAAGCAAGATCCTCATGTGTTACCCCATTAAGAGCACAGTGCCATAAGTTAGAAGTCCCTTTAAAAAATCCCTTCATCTGAATCATATTTCTAACTTCAGAAGCATCCACAAAGTCAACTGGCAGTGATGATGTCAATTGTGCAGCTGTAGACCCTGCAAGAGAGACAAATATTCTAACTTTCACGATCAATATATTGAATCCCAAAACTTTTTCAGCCATATATTCTTTCAAGAACTAAAAGATAATTGCAATAACAAATAGCAAGCATGAACTTGTAAATTATCTTTATAATACTGCTGATAGCTCATCAGACAAGGCATTACATTATTTTTCGGTTAAATATTCCATTTAAGATAACAAATGATAAAGAGAAATTCATTTGCCCTAATCAATGCGACTGAAATTCTATCTAAAAAAAAAAAACACGGCATGTATATGATTAAACATGGAGAAAAATACACAATAAGTCCTTAGACCACTTTAGCATATTTCTTCCTTGTTATGAATGTAATAAAATCCTTACCGGTTAATGAATACTTTTTGAGTGCTTTTTGAGCTTCTTTGGACAGCCCTGCATTATTTAGCTCAACTTTTGAAATTATACTTCATATGAATTCAGGCAAGAGAAGAGAAAGAAGATTAGGAAAGGAAGGATACCTCTGCCTTCATATATAACCTCCTTTGGGGACACCTAAGTTTAAATCCCAGCCAGAGAATCAGAATATATCCACAAGGCTAGAAACCCAAAAACTGTCGCATAATGAAAAGCAAGATACAGGAACATACTTGCATCAATAGAGCCCCCAAAGCAGCACAAGATGCATCATCTTCGATGGAACCAACCCAAATTCTTAAAGCAGCACAATCAACAAAAGCAAACCCATAGACAACTGAACCATTATCCAACTCATTCTTCACCTATAGAAGAAAATTATGAGACATTAATCATAGGTGATTGCAAGATTCATGCTACTGTTACACTCCGAAGATCTAAGAGACAACCCAAGAAGAATATCAGATATTCAGATAGTTGTAGAAACCACATCAGTTATCAACAACACCAGCAGCCACACTACCATTTGTCAACCACCAACCTGCATGTCTTCCACCTATGTAGTAGTTATTGCAACTTCTGTAATAGTTATCCTAAAGTATGTAAACCATTATTGTAATCTTCTATTTAAACTCTTGCAACTCAATGAAAAAGACCTGTGTTCTTGTTTCCAAAATCAAGGTTATTCTCGCCTAAAAGAGAAAGTGTCATTTAATTACTTAAGGTTCTGACTGGGACCATAACAGCTACCCATTGAACAAAAATATCCTTGCAAATATACAACATATTGAAGTAAAAAAGAAAGAAGTAGCAGATAGGAAATAAATAAAAAATTGAAAAGAGAAGCAGAACATGCAAGGACAAGAAAATGCAGGATCATTTATAAAGACAACTAGCATTCTGCAAAATCTTTCTACTGTATACCCTGTAGAATGAAGTCCATTATTGCTTTTAAATTATCTTTTACCATTTGCTTGAGCTAAAATTATCCTGGTTTTTATCATTTAGAATTGTACTAATGCTTTTTATATATCACAACTCAAAGTTGCTTTTGATTAGAGTTACTTTTAGTGATAATGGAAAATTTCAAGAGCCAAATTATCAAAAATGATACAATTGAATGTTAGTCACAATTCTTGTTTGGTTCAATATTCTAATCTGTAAAGGCTTCCTATTGGCACTTTATTTGGTGAAGGTATTGTTCTCTGTAAATAAAATAGAACTCAGTTTTATGAATTTGTTGGTTTACCTACAGATCTTTTAGAGTTTCTTGCATGAGAGAGGGTAAATTAAAGAGATTTTAACCTTTTTTGAATTCTGAGTAGCACTATGACCTCTTCCTGTTGCATCTACTTGTTTACAAAATTCCCAACCAATTAAAGCTTCACACCTCCATCAACATTTAGTTCCAGATTCTAGTTCAATTGAGCTCAACTGCAATTTCTTTTTGCTTAAGATAGAGAATTCACGGAAGAACAGATTTAGCCTTTGGTTCCATGGCATTTTGAAATTAGCAATCTATCCTCTACAAGAGGATGTCAAGTTTGTGAGATTCAAGATTTGTTTGACTTGTGCTTAAGCAGAAGCCTGCAGATAAACTCTACCGAATGATGCTTATGATGAAAAGCCTCCACAGTATTGTTAAAAGCACATTATTAATTCTTTTCTTTTAATCCATTTGTGGTTGTATGGCACAGCACAGAGATTAAGTTTGCTGTTAACATTCACCGTTTGTTAGCTTTAGAAACCATTTGGTTGAAGTCCTATCCTTCTTTCAGGCCCTTGTTAAAACTGAGAGCAGCCTGCTCCAGAAACACAAAAAATAGAAGAACCAAGACCATTTAATACAAAAAAATATGACAATTATCCAAACAAATCCTTTAATGCACACTGCAGAAGTTCATAGAATGCACATATTGTACAGGGTAAAACAGGATAAGAAATATCATACCTCTTTTATGGAAAGAAGGTGAACAGCATCAGGCCCAATGCTACTATCAGTTGTCGTTGATGGAGTGACCACATGGACTAATTTTCTAGCAATTACCTGAGAACCATCATCATTTTCAAATAAAGCAATATTAGTAGTTGTTAAAGAATTCTGTAGTTATATATAAATCTATATAAATAGGATGTGACCAGAAAAAAAAAAAAAAAAGGAAAAAGCAAGCATATGTTTCTGAATTTGCATATTAGATTATCCACTAAAGTTAAAATTAAAATCACCATGTCCAGCATGAACCACAAAATGGTAATGCTTAAAAAAGAGAAAGAGCTAGCCCTTCAATATGCAACAGGACTTACAGAATTTGCACCTCTGGCTTTTGCTTGATCAGAAGTCTCCAACTGCTCCATCCGGCCAACTTTGTACCTTCAGAAAGAAAATGAAGCAACAATTATGACAGGTTAGAATCAGGGACATAGAAATATAAAAAAGTGTACTGACAAAATATGAACAAATGGAAAAGCAAAGCCTAGAAGAAAAGATTCACGTAAAAAGAAAAAGGAAAAAAAAAAAGAAGTGCACTGTAAGTTTAACTCAACCATGGCTTGTCTCAACTACAAGGAAGTGGCTAAAATAAAAACACATTTCACCTCTTCCTAAGTTTAATATCCATGGACAAGATGACCAAACACAAATATAATAAGTGCGTGCACTTATCTCCCGTAGTAAATGTCTACTCCAATCCTGTCTAGCAAAATGTCTATGTAAAACTAAAGGAAGCATAGTCTGCACCATAACTTAAAATGTACTATATCCAATTTTTATATACATACAAAAGCAACTAGAAAAGAGGAATTTAGCTAAATATGCAGCAAAACAATAGGTCGCAAAAATACGTCATAGCCCTTTTTGATGGCATCACGCAAACCAAAGAGAGATATATTTCTAAATATAAGAGCTTTCCCTTACCCACGAGCAACTAGCTTCTGGACTGCATCATCAATCCCACTTTCCGATATACCAACCTGACCAAGATATAAAAAACAATTTCAAGTTACCTCTAAATTAACAATCCAAATTAGTAAACAACCAAGAAGCTCTTTATTACTCACTTGCCGACATTTCCCCACACCACTAATAGTCATCTTCCAGTCAAGCTCTTTATGTCCAATTTCTGCATCCAGCTCATAGAGCTCATAGAACTTACCCTGAAAAATGGGTGAGCTTAGCTCATTTGATCGAAACCAGGGGAGCAGTAAGGAGAGTGATTGAGTTGCTAAAAAAGATGTTGTTTAATGCAAACATATCCCCCTGCACCTAATCTAGTCTCACGTATATACATTTAAAACAAAAGGCACTGTAATAGGATAGACAAACTAAAGCATGATAAGCTATTATGTTCACATTTATAGTAACAGATTTTTTTTTCAACATGTTCTCCAACAGATTTTCTTGAGTATGAAGTAGTGCTACCAGGTAAGCATGCTCCAAAAGAAATGTTAGCAGTCTCAGCACTGCTTTTAACATCCATAGCAAGTTGTATTACCACCTTATATCCAACTTGTCGTAACATCCCCCACAATTTCTTTCTAAGGAAAATGCTCTGAATGACCGGCAAATCTGATCTATCTTATGTGATAGTAAATGATCCTACTAGGAGTAAAATTAAACTGAAATAGGATATAACTAACCACTTTAAAGAAAAGCACAACATCCATGTATTGACATTTGACAGTCCAATATTGTCTTTGGGACGCTGACATTTTCTTCAAAGCATCAGGCGGTATGTAAAGCGTCCTCTTGTCATAAAGGGGGTCATCAGGTCTTCTTCCACTAGCATCCTTAACTCGACCAGGCTCAAGCCATTCAAATTTGCTAACTGAATCAGCTTCTTCCAGATGATTCTTTTTCCCAGAAACTGTGTCTTCAAGTAGTCTACTTCTTTTGCTGGAATCAATCAAACAATGGCCCTTACCCCCAAACTTGGAACCATCGTCCTGGATTCTCTTCAAGCGAGGAACACAACGTTGCATACCTGGTGTTTTGGGACCAAAAACACCATCATCACATCCAATTTCTAGTTCACGTCCCCCATCAAGTACCCTACGGGAACTAAAACCATTTTCCTGTCCGGAAGGTCGAGAAGCCACTTCTACTACATTGGAACTAAAACTATTGTCTCTTCCACAAGGTTGAACAGAGACTTCGTGCTTAGACCTTCCTTTAACATCAGTAGATATGGAGCTAACATCAGAGGAAGCAGCGGAGCCATGGTTCCTGCAAAGTTCAACATTCAATAAAATTCAGCCACTTAAACAAAGAAGGAGAAAACTTATAGAAGGAATTACTGGTGCTTTTGCCAGCACAATAAAGTACATATGCGTAGGACAAAAGTTAAGCTCTTTTGCATGCGTGAAAAACAATAAGGCACAACTGAAATTCTGCTCCAAAGCCAACTTTAATTTTTAAGAGTTTGACCTCAATAAAAAATGAACTGAGATTCGAAGTGACACATTAAGTAGACCAGAATTTACAACTTAATTTTCTAAACAAGTTGGTGGTCAAACTATTTTTGAAGTGACATCCAAATTACCTTAATAGGCTGAAAATTGCACATTAATAGATAAAAGCTCATGGTGTTCAAGTATGGAGACAAATGCAAGAGAAATAGTAGAAGGGATCTAACCATGTATAGACTAAAACTCGATAACAGGTACTAGAAAACTTGACCTTATAATTCTGATGATTCTTGTATCGATATCTTTACTTGTATAATAAAATGTAAAAAAAATTAACTATACATAACACTAGCATCAATTTAATTAGTAGTAGGCATTGATATTCCTTTTGATCCAAAGACTAAATCCTAAAAGAATCTTAAACAAAAGCATAAAGCATTTCTAACGTTAAATACAGTTAAAAAATGTCGAACAAATACAATAAAGCTTTAAGCACATACTATAGAGACCTAAAACTGAGATATATATATGTTAGCCTAAAACTGAGATATATATATGTTAGCCTAAAACTGAGAAAAGAAAACTACCTCCCACTGGCATTTTCTCGATCTTCAACTTTCACAAACTTATGCATAATACTCGAAAATAAAGAACCATTCGTCGCTTTATCCGCCTTGAAGACAGCCGGAAAAACCTGACGCGGCACTTTCTCCGGCGGAGTATCTGTTCCTTTGATTTCTAGAGATGAATGCACTACGTCATGGACAACAGGACGTTTCAAAATGGCGTCATTTCGGTTCTGTAGTTTCTCGGGAAACTGAATAGCTCCGCTCCTTTCTATCTTCTCTCCAGCGCCGGAACCCTGATTCGCAGCGGATGGTTTCTGGAGGAAAGATAGAATTGATCTTTGTCGCTGCATTTTGAAATTGAGGAGAGAGAGAGAGTAAATGAGTGAAAGAGGATGCTGTTTAAGTGGAATTCACTAGCTAGGGAAAGAAATATTTGGCGCCAACTTTTGCCCCTTCCAGTTCCTTTCAGCGTAGAAAAATGGCGGACTCGTTTTGTCGCTTTCATTTTTACCGTCGCTTTCTCACTGAATCCTGACCATTGAATTCTTTTTTATAAAATCGTGACCATTAATTTATACCGCTTAACAAGAGCCGTCTGATTTTCAGACTATTCAACCAAATACCATGTCAACGTCGGTAGGGGTTGTTTGGCAAAATCCTATTGGTCGGTTATGCAGGAGAGAATCGGCGATTTGACGAATACAAATCTTGCCAATCGAACATAACCGCGTAACACGTCTCAGCAAGTATTTTAGCTTGCGCCCCAAGTATAGTTAACATGATTAAGAAAATAAATAATCCATGTCATGAACTATGTCCAATAGGAATTCTCCACATCATAAAATCCTAAAATTGGCCTCGCTGGAGTGGAAGTTTCCAGAGTTAAATATCGGATGAAATGAAAAATCAAAACCGCAAGAACTTTCCACACACTACCTTCTTATAAAAGCTCCCTCTAGTTCATCATCATGCTCGTAGCCAGAGCCATATCTCTGTAAAAATCCCAAAGATAATCTCTCTCTCTCTCTCTCTCTCTCTCTCTCTCTCTCTCTCTCTCTCTCTGTTTCTGTAAATTCTCTCCGTAAACGATGCCGAACAGGTATCCAGGAGCCATGGCTCGGGACTGGGAACCGGTGGTGCTGCACAAGAACAAGCCTAAGGCCCAAGACCTCCGGAACCCAAAGGCGGTGAACCAGGCGCTGCGGACCGGCGCGCCGGTCCAGTCAATTAAGAAGTTCGACGCCGGATCCAACAAGAAGGCGACTGCCCCAGTGGTAAACCCGAGGAAGCTGGATGAGGAGACGGAGCCGGCGGCGCTGGAACGAGTAGCAGTAGAGGTGAGGCGGGCGATCCAGAAGGCTCGGATCGAGAAGAAGATGAGCCAGGCTGAGCTGGCGAAGTTGATCAATGAACGTCCACAAGTAGTGCAGGAGTACGAGAACGGAAAAGCTGTGCCCAACCAAGGCGCGTTGGCTAAGATGGAGAGGGTGCTAGGGGTCAAGCTTAGAGGGAAGATTGGGAAGTGAATAATATGATCGGTCGATTTCAGTGTTTAGTCACTTAGTTTTGGGGGTGTTCGTTTTGTTTTGTTTGAACATAGGTGCTTATTGTGATGGTCTCTGTTTTATATTTTGGTTTTATGGGGATTGAACAGCTTTAGTGAATCTCTGGTAATGAAAATGAAACAAGTGGAACGTAGTCTCTTCTTTTTTTCAATGTTCATCGTTTTCATTGTTTTTTCTTTTTCTTTTTCGAATTGCAATTAAATTAATGTTCTCTGCTAATCTAAAATTTAGAAATAATCAATAATCAAATTATTCGACAGAACTAACCAAATCCCTCAACTCTGATAATCTTATTTATCAACAAAAGAGGGAAAGTATTTCCACTTCTTAAAAACAAAATAAAACCTTCCAACTTTATGCTTTTCTCTTAGCAACATTACAATCCAGACTTGTTTATTTTAGATAATTGAACACTATCATCCATCAAAACGTTTATTCTATCTTTTCTAGGTGCATCTCAGAGCCAAGGAGAATTATGAATGGGAGTTACGACGGATTTAACTTGGAGATACTTATGAAGAGCTTCTAACCCATTGTCTCTCTCAAACCCACTCATCTTGAACCCTCCGAACGGGCAGTCCTTGTCAAAAGCGAAATAGCAGTTTATCCATATTACTCCAGCCCTCAAGGATCTTGACACTGTGTTGGCCACGTCCAGGCTCTTGGTCATAATGCCTGCAGCTAGACCATATTTTGTGTCGTTGCCTCTTCTAATTGCTTCATCGATTGTCCTGCATGGTTTGATTTAGGTCAGATTTACAAGAATGCTTTAATTGCCTTGGTAGACACGAAAGATCGAACATATAGTTTTCTGTTTACTTGAACTTCATCACCGACATCACAGGACCGAAGATTTCATCTCGCGCTATTGCCATGTCATCCTGCGGATAGTTGTTGAGAACAACAGTATGAACTTTAACCAAATCTGATTGCATATTGATTCTTAATTTAATTTTAATATATTTTTTTTATATGCACTATTTAAACATATGAATTATTAAATATAACAAAAAATTTTACTTTTTGTATTCTAAAGATATATCTAAATTTTTAATTATATATTAAAATTAATATGAGAACTAAAACTAAAATAAGTCAATTGCAAAATAGAACTATTTTGAGAGGGGTAAAAAGACAGTAGAATATTTACCCTAACGTTGATGAAAATGGTAGGCTCAATGTAATATCCCTTCGAGTTTAGAGCTTTTCCCCCAGTTAACAAAGTTGCTCCTTCTTTTTTCCCAATCTCAATGTAAGAAAGGATCTTCTCAAACTGTTGCTTATCAACCTTAGATGGAAAAAATTCACATTTCATGTCATTGAAATTACAGTCCAGGAAAACGGTAGTGAAAACTTATTCTAAAAAGTAAATGACATTCAAGACCTGTATATATATATATATATATATAAGTTTTAATTTATTTAATAAATTGCACTTAGTGATACTTTGTTCCTATATTTACTTAATTGTTGAATTTTATTATATAGATAATCATATTGTTTAGTACCTATACATTCAAGAATGAGATCAGTACATCCCAAGTGAGGGAATCATAGTACATCACCAATTACAGATTACTATAACAGGAAGAAATTAGTACCTAAGTTTTAATTCAACTCGTCATAGTGCTCTTAGTGTTAGGTGTCTAAATTTATTCACAACTTATTTTTAACTAAATGCAATTAAATATCAACATCAAAACAGATATTACATATTACTGTAACTTGGAGAAATTGGTAACTAACTTTTAATTGAATTTGTCATGATGCTCTTAGTGTTAGGTGTCTATATTTATCCACAATTTATTTTTAATTAATGGAAGTAAATATCAGCATCAAAACATAAGATGTAAAAGCTGTGAGTACCAATGAAGAGCACCATAGTCAAATAGATAAAGCTGCTTTTTTATGTGCATTTGTATATGGCTCTAACAGTTAAGCTCTCTTCTTTTCTTTTTTTAAGGAGATAATGTTAAAGCTTTTCCAATTGCAGGATTCAGATGCATGTTGAAGCTTCTTTTAAGGAGTAGTTCCTCAGCGATCATATATAATCTTACCTGGGGTCCTTGGCTGACTGTTGGATCAAAAGGATCACCAACTTTCCAACCTTTTGCCTTCTCTGCCAATTTCTTCACAAATTCATCATAAATATCCTCCTGAACAAAGATGCGAGAAGCTGCTACACAAACTTCTCCCTAATAGAATATTAAGCATTTGCTGTTAGAGACATGCTTATATGCAAATTAAATCAGTAGATAATATAAACCCTGCCCAATTGGAAACAAAGAACAAGGAGAAGATAATATATATATATATATATATCTACTATATTGTTTTACTTTATTGTAGATAGTGCTAAAGAAGGCAAGTTCCACTGCTGTATCTACATCAACATCATCAAAAACCAGGAAAGGTGATTTGCCACCCAACTCAAGTGAAACTGGTTTCAAATTGCTTGCCGCTGCCGCCTGCATCACTTTACGCCCAACTTCTGTGGATCCAGTAAAAGAAACCTGAAGAGAACACCACATAGATTGCATATTTAAAACTAAAAAATCAAAGAGTACTCTTACTGACTAAATCACCTAATAACCGGGTGCAAAAATAAATTTTCCAGTTCGAGTAAAACCAGAGACAAATATATACATAAATACATATACATATATGTATAAGAAGGGTAGATATGTCTCACTTTATCAATGTCCATGTGTGAGCTGATTGCAGCACCAGCAGTTGGTCCAAACCCAGGCACAACATTGATCACTCCATCAGGTACACCAGCCTGATATATTGTTCAGAGCATAAAGTTTAATTACCGTATTTTCTATATTGTCAACAAATAGCAGTTATTTTTTCCCATCCAATATCCAAAATCACTTGTTTAGGGTCTGGTTGTAAAGAAAGATAAAAAAACGGAAAGGAAATTAAATGAAGATAACCCTCAAGTTCTTCCTTCTCCTCCTTTCCTATAACGGATCCTAAGCTTAATTAGTTACCTGCTTAGCCAGATGAGCATAAAAAAGGGCCGAAAGCGGAGTTTGCTCGGCTGGCTTGACGATCATGGTGCAGCCTGCAGCCATGGCAGGGGCAACTTTCATGAAAAACATGGTGCTGGGAAAATTCCAAGGAATTATGTGGCCAACAACGCCAATGGGCTCACGCAGAGTGTAGCCAAATAGTGGGCGTGACATTTTCAGGACTTCTCCATGAATTTTATCAGCAGCACCTGCATAATATCTAAGGCAGTTTGCTACTTGAGGAATGTCAACGGCCTTGCCCATACTGAACAACTTTCCAGCATCAACACAATCTAGGGCTGCTAATTCCTCTATGTTCTCGTCAATCAAATCCGCGAATTTCATCATGATTGTTGCCCTTTCCTGTTCATCGTGAATAAATTGAGAGGAAGATATCTCTTTTTCATTAATAATTAAAAAAAGAGTTTTCGTGACTTTTGACAGTAAATTATACCTCAGAATCAGTTTATGCGACAACAATCAATAGTCTATCCCCAATAAACATAGATTTGTAAGTACTTTCTCTCAATCCCATGAACACAAACACTTGATCTTACCCATAAACATAAACATAAACATAAACATAGTCAATTGTTATTCATCAAATTTATTTATTTATTTTTTAAATTCATGCATTTAAATAATTAGTACTCAATCTTATAAAAACAAATACTAGATCCTACCCATAAACATACTTAATGATTATTCATTAAATTTATTTGTTTTATAAATTCATGCATTTAAATAATTAATAAGACCACACTAGTAATAATATAATCAATAATAATAATATGACTCAGAATCCATATCTTAAAATGATGATAATACCACATATCCCTAATAGATTATTTATAAAATTAATTTAAGTTGAAATTAATTTTTTCTTTAATCAAAAGCTTTAATAAATTTTCACAAGAGCTTTCCCTTGTTCTCCTCCTCAGCCTTTGGCAATTGACAACGATGGTTGCCTGTTGCATTTGCTTGGATTAAATTAATATCAACTTCATAGTAGCAACTGCAGATATTTTACTATCGAAAATATATCATATATTTTTTTTGTCAAAATAGGTGATAAAATATGTTACTTACATATACTAATTAAATGAATAAAATGTAAATATTTAAGAAATAGGTATTTCAAGGATAAGTATGTTTGAAAATTGGCTTAAAAAAGCTATGTTTCAAAAGAATCATTTAATAATTCTTATATATTTGATAGAAATCTACATTTAGTCTAATAAAATTATGATCAAAATTTTATGAAATAATTAAAAGGTTTATAAAACTTAAAATATGTTGTTTTAGTTTTATTTATTTTTTAAATCGTCATTTTGCTATATTTTCAGTTCATATTGTGAATAATCTAAAAATGATTAGGTTGATTGAATTATTCATTCCAAATACAAACAAAAAAATATATATGTAAAAAATATTATATGGTCCTCGAGAGCACATGATTTGAGTATAAATTTGATTATACTCATTATATCTACAAAATATGTTAAACCATATTTATTTATTTGGTATCTTATAAGTACTCGTATATCTACTGTCATCATCTTAAAAATAAAAAAAATATAACAAATTAAAGATGTTAATATTGTACTAAATGATGAACTTAGCATTCGTAGAAAATTCAAGTTATGTATGACTTCTGCTTAATTACGTACTGTAGTAATTGGAGGTTAAAAAAAAAAAAGAATTCTGGTGTGTACGTATATATGGGTATATAGAGAGGATTGGAGTGAAACGGTGCCATTTGGAGAAGAGGAAGGAGAAACGGCGTCATTTGGAGAAGAGGAGGAGGAAACGACGTCGTTTGGAGAAGAGGGAGTGAACGGTTGGGATGAAGCAAGATGGACGGACAGGATGGGAAACATGTGGGGTATAAATAGGAGACAGGAAGGAAAAAAAAAGAAAAGAAAGGAAAAAGGAAAAGAAAAAAAAAAGAGGAAAGGAAAGAAAATAGATAAGAGAGATCGAGGGGAAGAGAAGGTTCGAGAGAGAGAGAAGAGCCGGGGCAGAGAGGAACGAGAAGAGAGAGAGGAGGAGACGGAGGACGGTGACAGAACAAGCCAAGGGAAGGAGGAAAATGGAGACGAGAGGTACGGTAGTTTTAAGTTTCATGCATAGTTGATGTGGATTTGAAATTTTACCCATAGGTAGGGGTTTTTGTGTGAGTATGAGTGGAGGTTTACGGAGGAGACCGCGGAAGGAAAGAGAAGAATAAATGTGGCATGGGAGAGAGGTCTGTGAGGGAGAGGAGACGTTGAGTATGAGCGGGGGTATATGGAGGAGGCTAGGTCACAGGAGGAGAGAAAAAAATGAGTGCAGTATGTGAGTGCAGTCTGTGAGGGAGAGGAGATGTTGAGTATGAGTGGGGGCATATGTAGGAGGTTAGGCCGCGAGAAGAGAGAAAGGAAGGTGTGCAGTGTGTGAGTGAGGTTCGCGAGAGGGATGAGATGTTGCGTGAGCACGAATGGAGATTTACGGAGGGGACCGCGGGAGGAGAGAGAGGGAGGAACGTGGTGCGTAAGTAAGGTCCAGGTGGGAGAAAGGATTATGTGTGAGTATGAGGGGAAGTATGAGGAGGAGTCCGCGAGAGGAGAGAGAGGGAGGAATGCGGCATGTGAGTGAGGTCCGTGAGGTTTCGGTGATTTTGGGATTAGAGAGTGGATTTCCTCCAATAGGACGTGGAGAAAGATGCAAGAACGGATTTG